TCGCGATTTCACAATGTACATCTTATTTTTAATGATTAAAGGGAAGCTTATGGAATTAACACATTAATTCCATTTATATTTTACGCGCGCGCGAGTTTCCTCCCTTCCTTTCACACTCGTGCGTGTGTGCGCGCTTGTTTTCACCCCTACCTTTCACTCACAGCTAAATGTAGCAGTAAACTCGTTGGCTCCTGCTGATGAACTCATGATAGATTTTGAATTTTTTCCCGCGCGTTTCGCGGCGTCTAAAACGGCCAGCGTTTGCAAGCCAGTTGCCTCTCGACTTTCGACCCGACTAGATGGGCAACTCATTTTATTCCGTGCCCTTAACCCATATGCGGGCCGGAATATCTTATTTCGACAATGGCGACTTCACACTCTACCAAGACTTCTTCTCGTCTTGAAGCTAATCACAGGTCAGACCATCTCCGTTTTCTACCAGAAGACGTTTTAGAGACACACGACACGGTCGTGAGCAAAACTTCGTATTCAACTAATAATGGCTTATTTTTATCCCTCGTCAGCGAACCAATAAATGCAGACAGGGATATCCTACTGACGAACAACTTGCTAATCGCAGATCAGACCTTCTCCGTTTTCGACCCGAAGACGTCAGAGACACGACACAGTCGTCGGCAGAAACTTCGTATTCAACAGGTAACCAATAAAAACACAAAATATTAATTCTGCGTCCCTTTTGGCTCGTCATTCAAAAATCCTTCTCCGAGATGATGCAAAACATCCAAAATATTAATTCCTCGGCCCTTTGTTACTCGTCATTCAAAGTCCTTCTACGAGATGATGCATATACCAAAGAATTAACTTTTCGGCCCTTTGTGACTCGTCATTCAAAGTCCTTTTCCGAGACGATGCAGAACATACAAAATAATCCGTCGTCCACTTTGGGTCTCGTCAGAAATCTGTTTTGAACCAGTACAAAAAAAAAGGAAAAAAAAATATGTACATAACATTCACTCACATTACCTAAGAACTCGCAGTGAGTATTTTTCCTTGTATGAATATTACCATGTACATTGACTTACTGGAACCTTTCTTCAAGAACCATTCCCGCCTTTGGACATCTTGTTTTTTACTTTTGGCGCGGAACTTTTTCATTGATCCCGACTAAAAGGATAATTTACTTATTTTTCCTGCATTTAATAAAAATTACTCTCGTTGGAATCCAGTCCTTTTCCTATCATTCTGTGTCGGCTATCTTAATATATTTTATTTTATGCACTTGTTGATTGACCCCTTTCCTCTCACTGTTCATTCACGCACACATTTATCTTTTTACTTTGCTTGTAGACTCGGTAGTTTAGTGTGGTGTCTGGCACAAGGCCACTTAGTAATAAACCAGCACTGCACGCTGCCGGGTCTGCAACAAGCTCCTCCCAGTGACACTTGATTCATTCAATGCATTTTTATGATTAACGATTCTTTTTCAAAATATCTCTTGCAATCCTTTCTTCAATAAGAAAATTATTTACTTCTTTCTCATGCACACGCTACATAAAGATGAAAAGTATTCACGAAAAGGAAACTCTTTGAATAAATAAACAACTTTTGTAGGTACAGCTACGGACTTCCGAAAAAAGCATTTTAAATAATTTAAATGCCTTCTTTGAACTTAAATTTCAGTTTTATTTGAAAAAAAAAATCTTTTAATGAAGTTTCACTTTCGAAAATGGCATTAAACTTTACGTTTTTTGATTCTTAATTTTAATAATATTAATAAGACTATTTATGAACAGCAACGAGATGACTTTCATAATTGTACTGAAAAATTACACATTTTTTTTTATAAATAAATATTAAACGTAAATTTATGCAAGCACCATCTGTCGAAAAATTTATTATTGAAGCTTTATTGAATTATTTCTGGTAAGATTCAGGACGAATGTTTGGTATGTTCCCACTCGATTTTTGTTTTTAATGAAATACCTTCTTCAGAATGTTTAGGTTCAAATTAATAAATGCACACGAGATATCAAAAAGTGCGTGCGGGTGAAATTATAGATCACCACCACCAAAAAATAACCTATTCAGTCTACAATTCATTCATTAATGAATAATTACTGAAAATTCCCTTTGAAATACTTTGACAAACGAACAGCTTCAATTTTCTTAAGTTGCACTTTGGAAAAGATCTTTTGCGCTAAAAGCAATAATAATAATAATAGAATAACTATGGAAATCTTCTGACATATTCTTGCCCTGAGCGAGAGTTATGATTGTGTAGTCTATAATGTTGTTTTTGCGGTATTTTTTCTCACTCGATTAAAGCTTTATAATGTTTTAATAATTAAAAAATTGTTGGACAATTTATGGAATAGTTCGTGTCATAAAAAGTTAACGCCTTGAATAAAGTCAGTGAGAAAAGTAAATAAAAGGCAAAAAATGGATTTAAAAAGATTTAATGCTGTTATAATAAAGACGTTTTTATAACCAAGTTCAAATCAGTTGAAAGGGATAATTCGCAAAAGACTGTCAAAATCAACTCATTTTAAAAATCCTGCTTCCGTTGGCTAAAATCTGAAAATTTTCTATGATTTTAATCAAATTCTCTATTAGGATAAAAAAAAGAGTATGCACGTGACTTTTCAAAATGAATGATCTTGGAAGTAATCAAAATGAAAGCAAAGTAAATATATATAGGGTGCGATAAATAAATTGTCGTATAAATTACGCTAAAATGAAAATAACATTGACATCTCATCTTAAGAAATATATTTCCCAAAATTACAAAAAATATCTTGAAATACTAAAGAGTAAATTTATTCAATAAAATCGCCATTGACTTCAACTACAGCCTCTAGACAGCTTCAGAATCTCCTGCATCTCTTCTGGACGGTCTCCTTGTTTAAGATGGTGAATACAGCCATAATACTTGCCTTCAGTTCATCTTTGGTGTTACAAAGAGTTTTGTTGATCTCTCGCTCAACTGTGCCTCACACATAATAATCAGTGGGGTTGCAGTCTGCGGAGTTAGATGGCCAAATGTAAGGGGTGATGTGGTCGTGGAAATTGTCTGACAGCCATGACTGGGTTCTGCTGCTTGTGTAACATGGTGAAGATTCCTGTTGTCAGACATATGATCTTTCCGCAGACACCCTCTTGATCCACGGCAGCACTCTCTCCTCAAAGCACTTGGTGTAGGCCTTCGTGTTGAATGTGAGGCCATCAGTAAGAGATTCAGGAATTCTTTTCTTATAAGAACGATCAGAGTGAGTTTACAAGCTGCCGTATCGTCGTAATCACCATTAGACTCATGCAACTCCGAATCCTCTGCATTGTTCTCAGATTAACACCCAAACACTCTGAAATGTTCATAGTGGAGCTTCCGGCGAGAATGCCAAACAGTACAGCATGCCGTTTAAGAATTTCTGGTGGAGTGAATTACGTCATAGCGCACTTTTTCTCACAGTGTCCAACTAACCCTGTGTAGTCGACAAAATAAAAAGCAAAGAACACGCATGTGCGAAATGAAAATTAAAAATTGGTGACAATGATGTGTCCAGATATAATCTTGACACCTTTCTGGGCTCTCAGAAGCATTAATAATAAAGGGCCCAGTATATTCTCCCTAGTATTCATCCATAGCGAGACGAGGAAAAATATATTCATGCATCTCCGGAAATGAAACTCCGTCATCGTCTTCGGCGTCCCTGATTCACTTATCTGCGACGATAAACAATTTGCCCTTGTTAGAGATATAAAAATTAAGCTATTCAACAAAGGCAAGTCCTCAGAGAATAAATTTAACTTTTTTGCTCTAACTGAACCCACAGTTACATAAAATCTGTATTGAATCGTAACATAAAAATGCAATAAAATTTTATTTTATTAGAAAATTTTTAATTTCTTGAAGGAATTAATTATTTTATGGACACTATTGTCTTCAGAAAAAAATTGTTTTCGAAGAATTTTTACCTGAATTGTTTCTATTTTTAAAACTTAAATTCGAATAAATTATAAAATTTTAAATCTTTATTTAATCTTATGTATAGCAGTCAAATGAAACTGATAAGATGCACCTCAAGTTAACAAAAGATAATTTATGAATTATTTTTATATTTAAAATCATTATTTAAAAAAAAAGCTAAAGACACCGAGCATGGCTTCTATGTCTAAATCAAGTCCTTGTCATTTGATATTTTAAAGTGGATGCTAAAAGCTGATCACTATATTTGCTGATCGTGATTAAAATCACGCATAAAGATATCCTTCGATCAATGTGGGATTTCCATTATAAAAAGAACATCCTTCAACAGCTAGTAAAGCATTTAATATGTTACTGCAATTTTTCACATCATTTGACATAAACTCCTAAAAGCGTAAATAAATCGACTTTTATTCAGCAAAGCCTTCGTAAGTTCAAAGCAAAGAATTCAATTTTATCTTCTTGCAATAACCAGATTGAAATTGATTGATTTTTCATTCGTCTATATAATCATTCATCATTCGTCTATATAATCATTCATAGGGGAGGATGGGGTAAGATGAACCACTTTTTAGATTTTTTGACCTGGTGTCTCCCGTGGTAATGTCATCCAGTTTTGCTGGCGCTAAATTGAGCACTTGCCATTTACCTTTGACCATCCATAATTTGAATGTTTTCATAATATGCCTTTCACATTTTTAAAGCACTTGAAAAATGGGTTCAATTTACCCCACATATTGGGTAAGTTGAACCACCCTATGGGGGTAAGTTGAACCCCCCTTTGAGGTTGAGGGGAGAAAAAAGATATTTCTACAAAATAACAGAAAAGAAAGGACAAAATGATTTAAATTTCAGAAAAAAAGCATAGACCTGCAACTTTACTGTCCAATTGTGGCATCCAGCTGTACACTTGTAAAAAACAACAGCAACCACCATGGTTACAATACAGTCACATTCCAGTCTATGAAAGATTGAATTTTTCCAGATCAAAGGGGAAGACCCACTGGTTGGATTCGCGTTCACTCCCCAACAAGTTGTTTTGTGCGGGTAGTTTTTTTTACAATATCTTGTCTAACGAATCGGGGTCGATAATGAAGGCCTGTCTGCCGTCCATGGGTTTTCGGCCTTGGATTCTCTTCAAGAAGACACCCTCGAGTTCATCACCATCAATTACATCGACTCTGGCGATGTATCGACGTGTGGTTTTCTTGCCATTGACGCTGACTACCACAAAATCACCTTCTATTAGTTCATCATCCGATACATCGTCGTCATCAGAATCGTTCATGGCCATGGACTCACAGTCTTCATCATCGCTGTCGTCATCCGAGGTGACATTGGCTGTTGTCTTTTGGGATGTTTGGCTAAATAGTTTCTTTTTTATGTCTTTGGTGGGTTTAACCTTTGCTTTTTCTGCTGCCAATTCATCTCGGACTGCTGTGTCAGTCAGTATTTTGGTTGCCCTTTTCTTTCTTCCCCCTTTTGTTTTTCTTGGTTCAGCTCTTGGGAAAGGATAGATTGCTGATGGCGAGACGTATTCACAAGAACTGGAAACAGGCTGTTGGCCCATGCCACAAGAACTAGGTCTTGGGATCGGCGGTGAACCCACAGCACCTGAGCTTGGACCAGGAATTGGATCCAGATCTGCAGCATCTGCATTTGCTTCAGGATTTTGACGGTCAGTAACTGCAGTTGAAGCAAAATCAGCATCCACGAATATATCCTTATTGTAGGGATAGATGCCAGTGGCTGCAAATCCTGTCTTGATACTGCGTTGTGACATGGCACAGAGCTGAGCTTCAGAAACAATGGTGGGAATGTCGTAGTTGGTAACTGTTCTCCCAGGATGAGAGTGAATCCACCCGTCCATTGCCGCATTGTAGGCTTTCTTAAATGGACCGTAGACGGTTCTATCAAGAGGTTGTAATCGGTGGGATGTGTGGGGAGGAAGTGTGAGCAGAACAACGCCATTCTCACGTGCAAGGTCAATTGTGTTGATCGTGATATGTGTTTCCACATTATCCAGAATTAGCAGCACTGGTCTTTCTTTCGTGCAACGAGTGTGTTCAATGAAATGTAGCATATAATCTACAAACAGGTCTTCATTCATCCAGCCAGTGCGAGATGCTCTTCCAATAGAGCCTGCAGGCGCACCATTCAAGAAATGTTCCCGAAACTTCACCCGTGGAAACACAAACAATGGTGGAATCACGTTCCCTACAGCATTCACACAATATTCCAGTGTCACTAATTCACCACGTTCGGCACTGGTCAGAGATCCAAGTTACTTTTTTCCTTTCTACGTGACAACTTTTCCAGGATTTTGCACAGTGGTGCAGCCAGTTTCATCGAGATTCCAAATATCACTTGCAGAGAACTTGAATCTGTCCATAACTGCTGCCAAATTATTGTAGAACTGGTCTACATTGTGGCGGTTGAAAGCAGTCGCCCGAGCAAGAGATGTAGGTTCTGGTGTTCTTACGGCTAATTTGTGCCTACATTTAAATGAGTAGATCCAGCCTTTACCAGCCTTATTTTCCCTTTCCCAGTTGGCCGGAACCAGACCATGAAATTGGTTGGACAAGTGTGTTATGTGCCGTGACAGTGATACTATTTATATTGAATGAGTCCCTGTCATCCCCACAAGAGGGGTGGGGGGAGGAGAGAGAATAATGTGGCACAAATGTTGGGGTTCATCTTACCCCCAGCTCAAGGGTTCATCTTACCCCACGGCTGCCATCTTGAAAAATTCATCTGGCAGCAAGGCAATCAACTCTGTAACCATTAACAACGTGCACAGAAGAACAGTCAAATAACAATCCAACCTCCAGTAATTAACAATGAAAAGAAAACAATTATACTTACCAGAGTATTTGATGATATTCCCACTTTCTAACTTTTCACTTGATGATCGTCAAAACACTTTTTTTCGCACCCAAACTCTCAAACTGGCAATAGATCGGCGCCAATCGCTCAGAGACCTGTGGTGACGTGTTGCTTAATGTGTGTGACGTCAGAGGTTTATGGGGTCTCTGTTAACTCGTATACAAGCGTTGTTTCATCTTAACCCACTGTTCATCTTACCCCATCCTCCACTACCTATAGATTCGCTGAAAACGTGCGCTGAAAAGGTGCGTTCTGCATCTCATTGGTTCGCAGCTTATGTCCTGGTTGTGAAAACTTTCTTAGAAATTAATTGCGAAACTCCAAGTGGGATATCTTATGTAATTCGGAGGAAAGTCAAAAAGGAAACGGAGAATAAATGTTAAATCAAACACAAAATGAAGTTGATGACGGAATCAGAAAGAGTTGAACCCCGAACAAATTTGGTGAATATTCATTAATTTTAGTATTTTTCAAGGTGGTCTTTCTCTGATAAGGAAAATATTTAATTGGATTTCAGAGCTGAAATCCGATCCTAGAGTAATAAATTCTTATTACGAAGCCCATAAGGTAATTCTCATTGAAAGCTGGAAAAATATTTTTTTAGCTGAGGCCATGTTTGTTCGACAATAGACACGTCGAGATAATGCAGGCAAAGGTAGACAGTTTTACATATATCACTGTCAAACTGAGAATGAGTACATGAATATTTCTCATCTCGCCATAGGCGAGATATCTATGCTCTTCTATTCATTCCCGCGTTAAAGTGACACACACGTGCCTCCTTTAAAAATGTGATAATATTCGGTTACACATTCTCGTATTTCGTATCACGTCGAACATTAAGAACGTAACAAGTGTGTGTGTGTGTGTGTGACTCGCCAGGTATATTGAATTCACTTTAGTGCTTGTTTTGTGAGACAACTAATGACACAACGAAAAGCGACTCATTTTCCCTTAAAGTTTGTATCATTTTCAGATTTTATCTCTTGTCACATACATTTATTAGAAAATATGCATGATTGATATTCAAGAATAAAGGTAACTTCCTTTTTAAATTTGGCGTGGCTTTTCTTTCTGTAATTTGTTATTTCATTTTATTTTTTATTATTGCTTATTCTGCAAAAATTCGGCAAAATCATGTCATTTAACTTAATAAAGATCAGGCAATTTTAATGATAAAACTATCCGAGAAAAATAATCTCAAATGAAAATTACCTTACCTATTAACAGAATATGCAAGGGCGCCATGCTTTCGAGTCATGGCTAGTCTTGTAGGTATGAAGGGTTTCTGCTTTCTTTATATATATAAAAAAGAACCCATCTTTCTCTATTTAGACGCAGGATCAATCGTGCTCACTTAAGGTCAGGTAGGTTAGATAACCCGAGAATAAGAAAATAATTATAGAATCAAACAATACAACTGTGGAGTTAAATTGGAAGTTCATCCCACTCACCATTCGTTCATTATAATTTTACATGAATTTGCAAGCTAAGATAAAGCCAGAAGTTATCAATTACATCAAAATGCATAAAATATTAACATTTGTTTAACATAAAGATTAGGCATATTTAAGGATAACAAAAGGATTTGCAAAATATAAAAATAAAATGATTTATTAGCATACATCACAGGTGCGTCTCATCGTGACGTTCTGTAATATACAAGCTAGTCTCACACATTGGGCCAGGTAATTAGACATAGGTTAAGCAAGATGTCTTCCAAAGCTGTGAACATGGACGCAGATTTACGCAAGGAAGAGGTTCGTCGATCGTTACATTCGTGAAGTCAAAACCCCGGAGGGGCATACTCTTCGCCACTGAAGACATGTGTGAGGCGTTTCGGCGGCATTTCGAGAGCCGCTTTACCAAGGAACCTGGTCATCGTGGGGACGAGTTTCGCAGCTATTTGGCTGACATTCCTCGGCTTTTGCCGACTGAAGCGGCTAGATGCGAGGGAGAGATCACAGAGGGCGAAATCTACGCGGTATTGAAGAAGGTTGGCCGAGGCAAGTCGCCCGGTCTGGATGGTTTGCCCTATGAATTGTACTTGAGACTGTCTCACAGCTTTGTCCCGATTTGGACTGTGGTGTTCGCCGATCGGTTGTCCAGGGGTCTGATCACGCTGTTGAAAAAGGGCAAGGATGTTGGGGGAAAACTAGATGATTACAGGCCCATAACTCTGCTAAACACATGGTTAAAGTTTTGGCCTGCAGGAGCGTTTGCAGTTAGTTGCCGAGTCTCTGTTGGGTCCTGAGCAGAACAATTCAGAGCAACTTGCATCTGATCCGCACGATCATAGAGGGTGTAAAAGACGATGATGAGGCCGCGCTGATCAATTTAGATCAGTCCAAGGTATTTCATAGGGTTGACCATCGCTACCTTGCTGCTGTCCTGCAGGCCGTCGGATTCCACTCGACTTCTGCCGCTGGATTAGCCTCCTGTTTCGCTCCCCCAGTGCTGTGATACAGGTGAACGGGAAGCTGTCGGGCGCTTTTGCGCTGCCTAGGTCGGTCCATCAGGGTTGCCCGCTGTCGCCACTACTTTATGCTTTGGCGTTGGAGGACTCTCCTTCGTCGGCTGAAGGATAGTCCGGCCCTACGTGGAATCGCCGTTCCTGGAGGAGCCAGGGTTTCCGCGTACGCCGATGACGTATCTGCTTTCATGTCGTCCCGCAGCGACATTGAGGTGGTACTAAAGGCGCTTGATCGGTACGAAAAGGTGACAGGGGCCAAGATTAACCGCGACAAGTCGTCCGGCTTGCGGTTAGGTGCCTGGAATTTCGGTCCGCATTCTTGGAATGTGGTTTGGACCCGACCTCCAGCTGGAGAAAAATTGGTCTGAAGTACTGAAGGTTGACGCGGCCGGTCAGACTTGGCGTCGACGGAGGTTGTCTGTGAAGAGCAAGGCGGAGGCGTGTGCCACTTACGTTTTCCCGATTGTCCTTTATCGATTGTCCGTACTTCCTCTCTGTGACGACCATAGGAAGCCGCTTGAGCGATCGCTAAACTCCATTTTATGGATGGGACGCGGGAATCGGGTCGACAGACGAGTCTGTGCGAGTTGACGGCTCGTCTCGCTCCCGAAAAGCTCGTGCTCGTTGACCGCGCATACGCGTGTGATAATGTGTCACTCCCGTATTCCAGGGTGAAATGGATAGTGTCTCTTACGCCACGGCCCGAATAGTGATTTGGACGACACGAATGAAAGAGGTCTTGCGAGGCAGATGTCTTTCTTATCAGGATCTGATCCGATTCTTTGAGCTCAAGATGAAGATTAGAACTGATAGAAAACGCTTGCATTTGACAGTCTTCAGCGAAAGGTGGGTGAAAGAGGCGAGCTTGGTTCGTTTGAACGGATCTAGCCTTGATTTTCTCTTTTAAGTCAACCTATGTCACATCGGGGTGGTTTCCTGTGGAGCCCTCCCCTTGGTTAGGTTAAACAAGCTCCTGTGTACCTAGTTAAGGGTTAAGTTGAGGGTCGGACGGGCCCTACTAACATCTGTTATGTTTAAGTTTACTTTGTGTTCATGTTTAGTTTGTTATTGGGACCATCTCCATTCCCACTCATCTTTAGAATTTCATATATAATTTATGATCATTAAATTTTTATGGTATCGGGGGAATTTTGTAGGTTCCCACCTTGAGAGGATATGGTATTATGGTGTATGAAGGATTGGTTGGCGATGGACGAGTTCTTGTGAATGTGCAAATTGTAATGAGTGAATGGCTCGTGAATCAAATTAGCTAGATATAGGATAGTTAATGAAGACCAGTCTCAACCCCACCTTTTTTCGGCCTTGTGCCACAATTGTGTTTTTATGTACAATAAATATAAGCTAGCCTCACACATTATTCTTTGGTGAAGCAATGTGCTCATGAGTCATCTAACGTGTGGCTTTGTGCCATATTCAACATTTTTCTTTGACAATAAATGTACTTAAACCAAAAGAAACATGAATTTATTAGAATATGAAAAACATTTTCCTCGTATTTGGATAACTCCGCTTTTACGCAGCAAATGTACATATACTAGCATGATGAAAAAGGTCCCAAAATTGATGAAAAATTACCGTCAAAATGTTTGTTATTAAAAGGAAAAACTAAAATATTCTTTATTATTTTATTAAATTTTAATCCTTTCTAGCACGTTGGAAATTTTAGTTAAAAAATCTTTTTTCATGTGTCAGCGGTGGGCTAAAAATTACAATAAGAATCTTAGCGCCTT